ATCTCATCACAGTTGACTGGCAGCTGCTATAAAGGAAAAGATTCTGCTCAAGTACCTTTTAAAACAAAAATCTCTTAGAAAATTAACCTGCATCAAGAACTGATTGCATTGAACTGTAACACCTCTAAAATGTTCACACATCATGCACCACAGACAGAAATTAGGCAACTCAAAGTATTAAAGGAAAGGCAGATCAGACTCACACTAAGTGCAAATAAAGCACCTGCTGTGTAGAACAAACTCTCAAACCAGTGTTTTTTTACAAACAGGTCACTGCAATAAAGGCAGGCAAGTGTGGAGGGCACTTCATGCATTCTGTGAAATACCTGGACTTTGACTTTACGAAAGGATGACAACATGATGGAGGAATGTAGAGTCTAAAAGGGAGGGGGAAATCGAGATAACGTTCAACTGACGACCAGCATAAGGATATGGCTCATTTTTTTGTCCCCCAGATGCATATTCTGTCACAGTACCTGTTTATTACTTTCCTTCTGCTTCCTTGTCACATAAAACAATTTAGTGTTAATGTCACCCAAGCTATTGAGAAGGACAGACCGCCCCACACAGAAAAAGGTTACACTATCAACAGGAAAACTTAATTAATTTGCTATGTATTAACCTTTCCAATTAGTTGTAAACAAAACAGAAAACTACCGTAACCTGAAGGTCAAAACAGAAAGTAAAGCAAGTTATCTGGACTTGGCAAATGATGGTTCTTGCTACAGCATAATTAAGTGTGATGGCTTAATTTAAAGACACAAATTCAATCAGGAGGTTTGGAATATAAATACCCACTAAGATGTTTACTTTCAATTACCACAGTAAAAAAAAAAAAAAAAGGCCAAGTAGCAGTTGTGGCAAAGGTATTTTTGAGGTGTAGCTGTTACATGTATCCAACCACCGAATTTTCAGCTGAAAATTCCTTGCCTCCCCTAACCCTACATTATGCCCATGGACACGCTGCAATCCCTCCACGGAAAACTGCAGCTGTGTGTGTGTGTGCCTTTGTGCTGCTGGAGCTCTGCACTTCTCCAGCTTCACCTGGATCTGCAGCAGGGATCCAGCAGCTTCCCATTCCGTCTGATCCATGGGCAGCCCTGGGAGCACAACCCAGTCTCCAGCCACGGCATCTGCAGTCTGCTCCACCCCATTTTTCTGCTGCCTCCACTCACCCCAGGGACAAATGGAAAAAACAAACCCCCACACTACACAAACATGCAGCAGAGAAAAGGGAGGAACTCCTATTATTTCCTCCCATACAGGGGAAGTGATTAGTTGCCCCCAAAAAGCGATGTATTTATGAATGAAACAATTATAGCTCCATAAATACGTTAAATAGACAAAAGAAAAAAGGCAGCAGAGATACCAAGTTATTTGCATTAAATTACTAAGGTCAGTTATTAATGTCATAGTTGAGAAATAGGAATTTCTCACCATGAGGTACACCCGTGTCTCAAGAGATTTAATGCTTCTCCTACCTCACTGCTGTGCAGGAATAAAATGGGTACAAAATGCTTAAAATGTGTAAAAGACAGTCTTTGATATTCACCATTTTTGCTATTGTTGCTACCTCTGTTATTAAAAGAATAAACCAGAAATATGTTTGCTAACTTCATCAACTACAGGTCTCATAGAAGCATTACATGTAAATCTGATTTTTAAAATACAATTTCTATTTCAATCCAGCCAATACGGACTTTGTAGCTTTTTTTCCAATAAGAATGGAAATAAATTACTTCTTGTGAACAATGTAACCTGTAATCTTGGTTCAAGTATTTGGCACAGCTTAACAATTCCATTATTACAGTTACAGATCCTGCACACAGTACAGCAGAAAACATCCCATTTCCAACCTATTGTTCCTTATTTTCTCTGCACAACCTATAAATAAGGACAAATGAAGATTTCATGGAAGAACTCATTGCTAGCTGCATTAAAATGCATAAAAATCCCACAGTGGGATTTAATATTCGTTTTGAACAAATCTGAATCCCTGACCAAGGCCTTTCAGCGAACAGAGTCATCGGAATCTTCTGGCACTTCACTGAAAACAAAATGCCAAAAGAAAATGGATTATTTGTTTTCCAGAAAGATACAGAACCATTTCAGGCTGAGCTGGCTTTTTTTGGGTTGGTTTTTCTTTTTTTTTTTCCCCCTGATGTGTTCATTTGCCATCTCCAGACAACTGCTCTTCAAAACCTATTTAAATATGTATGAAAGACTGCTCAAGAGTCACGTACATTTTCCACTGGAGCAAGATGCTGGTTTATGATATAAAAAATCCTGAACAGCCACTATGAGCCCACTGAAAAAATATACAGTGATAAATGCTTGTTTTTCCTTCAATACCAGGACAAATGATTGCCCTATTGGCACATATTTATGACCCAGCAATGTAGATTTGTATCATTATAAGCAGGTTAGGTGTATACGGGCAACAAAATGAGAAAGAATTGACTTGGATTTATTTTAAATTATATTAAAAAAATAACTGATCACGGCAGGGACAAACCCTGATTCTTTCACGAAGGAAGCCGTAGACCTTGCCCTATATATCACAGTGACACATATATGGAAGGAACAGAGGCTGGGAGGGTTCCTGTTAAATGCCCCCTCCCCGCCAGCTCTGCCGAGCCACCCCCGGCTCTGTCCCCGCCCGGAGAGCCCCCGGTCCCCGCGGAACGGGCTCTGCACCATCCCCGGCCCTTCCATCGCTCTTCCCTCTTCCTCGCCCATCCCCTGACCTTGGACAGGGCTGGGCTGCCCAGGAAGCCATTGCTGTGCAAGGATTCCCGGCGCCGGGGGCTTCATCCCCAGGGATCGCCCCCCGGGGAAAGGCTGGGCTGTGCCCGCGGGGGGCCGGGCGGACGCGGCGGGGGCTGCGATCCACGGCCGGGGACGGCATTTTCTGCCTGTTTATCCCTGCCCAGGGCGCTGAATGGGATTCCAGCCGCGGGTCGCGCTGCCCAGGGCGGCTGCGGCCGCTCCCTGGAAAGGAAAGGGTTCCCTGGAAGCGAAAGGCTCCCTGCCCGCCCCCGCCCTTCCCTGCGCTCCGCTCCCGCTCGGGCAGAGCCCCGGCCCGGCTCTGCGATAAAACACCGCCCGGCAGCAGCCGCGGCCGAGAGCGGCCTCAGCCTCGCCCGCCGCGCCCGTACACCTGTGCCCGGCGGAGCGTGCGGGGCTCGGTGAGCCCGAGCGGGCTGCGCTCACGGCCTCCCCGCCCGCCCCTCGCCTCAGCCCCTCACCGGGTCGGTGGGTGAGCAGAGACGTCCCGCCGGCTCCGCGCCCTCCGCCACGGACCGCGCGCGCCGCCCGCGCCAGCCCTTTTATAGCGCGGCCGGAGGTGACGTCAGCGCCGCAGAGCGGCCCTACCCGGCCGGCGGAAAGAGCCGAAGGGCTTCGGAAAGGGTCGGGAACGGGGCGGGGGGAGGCCACGCCCAGGCGGAGAAGGGCGGAGGGAGCCGAGGGGTTCCGGAAAAACCCGAGGGAGGGGTTCCGGAAAGAGCCGATGAGTTCCGGAAAGAGCCGAGCGGCGGGGCAGGGTGTGGAGGGCGTTTGTCCCTCTCGGTGCCCTGCGGGGAGCGGCCTCGGGCACCGCAAAAATCCACAATTACACCGGGAATCGGTTAAAATGCCCGCGCAGGGTAGTGGCAGAGAGTTCTACCCCCGTTTGTCTGCAGCCAGGGTCAGTTTAGGGGCTCAGAGATTTCGAGGCTCTGCAGCCCAGCGATGGAGGCAGGTCGCCTGTGCAGCACCGGGACAGGCTCAAAAAAGCAGCAGCCTCCTTATTTTACATTATTTATATGTAACTTGTTAGCTTTACATATTTTTTTCTATATTTATATCTATATACAGATATATAGATAAAAATATATTTTTAATGGTGGCTGGTTGAAGCAGGGTGCAGTGTCACCTAGCAGCCTGGCAAGGACACAGCATCAAAAGGCTGCGAGCGCTTGTCAAGGGAAAGCTATTTCTGAAAACCTGATGCATAAATTCAATGGAAAATGAGCCTTTAGCATTAAATTGATGTTTAAAATAGATACGGCAAAGTTCTGCCCCCCCCCAAAAATTAAATAATTAGAGATGAGAGGGCTGGTGAGGCAGGAAGAATGTTACAGGCTGGAAGCGGTGAGTGGGTTTGATGGCTGTGTGAGTTAATAACACATTATTTGAGCGAAGCACTTCACTGGAGAAGCACAGGCACTTGTGGTGACATCCCATCGCATCCATGGGAACTCCTGTCTCCAAGCAGGAGTCTGACTCACAGCAACTTCGATGCATCTCGGCCCGAAGGCACAGTATTTCCACATCTGAGATCCTCTCCTTTGTCATATTTGATATAAATATGCGTGGAAAAATACCATGAATATATGCATACGACCTCATTTGCACTGCATCTTCATTACACCAGCTGGCCAACATCCAAACCTGCTAAAATGACAAAAACAAGTCAAACATTCAGCTCAAGCAGCAGATGCAACCCTAAGCTACATCTAAAAATAAATATTGATTCTTTGGAAGCACACACATTATTCAATTAGAAGTTCTTGTTAGTATTTCTGAAACAGTAAAGAGCATCCAGAGGCAGAAAAGGATATCATGTTTGTTCTTTAGAAAAATATATACTTTTATTTGTGCCACAAATGATAAAAACGCCCTGGTAGCTATCAGCAAAAAAGAAGAAAAGTGTTGTATTTCACATATACACAATCAAATCCCTCCTTGGGTTTGGCATAGGCAGACAATTGTTTCTAACAGACAGGACCAATTAGTGTCTTGGCAAAGTGACTCTCCACCCTGATTGTGGATATGCAATACATAATTAAAACATCCCCACTCAGTATAAAAAAACCTTGTTCATGTTCAAGTACACTAATAAAAGTTGCATTGCTTCTGTTATCTGGAAAAAAGGACACCAGAAGGATATTTCCAGTTTCCCAGAACAATCATCTAAAGAATTCAAGAGTCAGTTTAAAAAATACGTAAACCAAATACAAATTTAACTTATTTATCAGTCCGTTTTAAAGCCAAGGTTACAGTTTTAAAGGCCTGAATTCCGAAGCACGTGTTACAACCTTCTATCAGAAATTTCAAGAGCTATACAGAAAATCACATTCAACTTCTCATATGGCCTCAATTCTGTTTTCTACAGCTTGAAACTGCGGTGCCTCTAGGAAAAGCAAAACCCAATCTGGTAAAAATAACATTTTTAACTTGAAACAGTATATTGCCAGAGTTCACAAAACTGTGAGGTATTTTCACTTCCACGAACAGAAAGGCACAGTGCAATTTTTAAGTCCAGGAGCCATCAGGACACCGTATTTAAAGCATCTTCCACGTGTTTAAACATATGAAGGAAAAGTCTTTCATTGTCAATAATTTATTATACAAGAACTTATAAAAATCTAATGCTTAGAAAGACTTCCAAGTCTACAGCAAATCAATCTTCAGCAACATAAATCTTCACAAATTAAAAATTAGGAGGTTGATAAAATATTTTCTTCTCAGTCTTCTATACTGTGTCCAGAGGCCCCCATACAAGAAACGTTGACCTGTTGGAACAAGTCCAAAGGAAAGACACTAAATTAATCACAGGGCTGGAGCATCTCTGTTCTGGAGGCAGGCTGGGAGTTCAGCCTGGAGAAGAGAAAGCTCCAGGGAGAACTTAGAGCCCCTTCCAGCGCTTAAAGGGGCTTCAAGAGAGCTGGAGAGGGACTTTGGACAAGGGCCTGGAGAGACAGGACAAGGGGGAATGAGTTAGATGGGATATTGGAAAGAAATTCTTCCCTGTGAGGGTGGTGAGAACCTGGCACAGGTTGCCCAGAGAAGCTGTGGTTGCCCCATCCCTGGAAATGTCCAAGGCCAGGTTGGATGGGGCTTGGAGCAACCTGGGGTAGTGGAAGGTGTCCCTGCCCATGGCAGGAGGGTGAAATAAGATGAGCTTTAGTGTCCCTTCCAAACCAAACCATTCCAGGATTCTGTGCACAAAATACATTTTGCCTTTGGGTGTGAAGAGGAAGCCAGGTCATCCAGGGGACAGGAAATACAGACCCATTTATGTTCTCCAAAAGGAAGGTGTCAGAATGCCCTTTGGTACTGGAATTTCCTTCTCCTGTAGACATTTCTAGTGGAGAGAGAATGACAAACAACAGAGGATAAATGTGTATCTTAATTTGGCATCTCTTCTCAGGAATTCTGATGGCTGTTACTGCACACATTCAAAGCATTGCTAATAAAATGTACCAGAAATAATTTTGAAATGGAAGTACCAACTCCAAAGCTGTCATACTTCAATATCATAATCTAAGCCAACATTCACAAAGCAATTTAAACAATCAAGTATTTTACAGTTCTGCAGGCTTTATTTAAAAAATATGCAGAAATACAATGCTAAACAAACACTACAGAGAGAGGTTCAAAGAGTCTCTTCTTTGTGTATCTATTAGGACAACTGCTAAAAGCAAGCAACCACTGATAAGGAATAGCTGTGACAGAAATGACTCAGCAGAATCCTCCTCAACCTGTACATCTCCTCTCACTGAACTTGCTTTACAATCAAAATACATTTTCACTGAGCAAAATTAGATGGGAGGTAAGAAAGTAGCAAGATGTTTGACATCATGACTACCATTAAGGTAATTCAGTAATTTTAAGTTCCAAAGGATGGGTTAGATCACAGTGACAGGGATGGACTGTCAGCTGTGCTGCAAGCAGTGCCAGCCCTGCTATCCAAACGATGCACATGCCCAATGGAGGGAAATAAAAACCCCAAACCAAAACATTTGGTAGCTAAACAAACAAATGAAACCAACCCAAAACTGCTTTACCTGCACAAAATTCTTCAAACGTGATAAACAGCCCATCTGGCCAGCGCTGGTCACGGCTTCAATTCTGCAGAAACAACAAAGAGCACGTTTCAAATCCTCTTTAGAAAGTTGAGTTTGATTCACAAGTGGGTGTGGGCGTGGATGGCAGAGTTGGAAAAGATGGATGAGTCATTTAAGAGCAAGCACTGACACTCCTAACCCCACATATCATACCTTGGGATATAGGATTTCTGGATGAAGAACATTGTTTTCCAGAACTGAATGCCATACTGCTTCACCAGAGCGCTGCCACACACCTGTGGGACAGAAAGGCACAAACAGCAGGTTACAGAATTGGGCTTCAGAACTGCAATGAAGCTGTTCCATATCAACCACTTAATATTTTATCCAGACATTTAAAGAAATACACCTACAATCAAACAAGCAAATCTTCTAAATGCAGTTACTGCTATCACAATTACCTTTAATTTTGACTCTTATTTAGCACAGGTCTATATTGAAGGATATAAATTAATATCCATCAGGCTCTGATGGTTTTTCAGCATGAAAAACCCATCCTCTTTTATGAACTAATTTGGCTGGAAGGGCCACAGGACCTCATTACACTGTACAAACTGATGCCAGGTGCTTAGCAGAACTGATTCTTACAGGACCATGCAACTCTTTCTAAAATATCAGGAATCTTAAATGGAATCAAATACAACAACAGAAGTTGTATAAAACTTTCAGTTTTTAAATCATTCAGCTTCAAAGCTGTAGTTGCAAGAATGTGGAAATATTGAATCTCACCTCAGCAATCCCTGTCATCAATTTAGATCTCTTTAACTACCAATAGCAATCCACACCACTAACCTCCAGAAAATCCAAGAGCAGCATAGCTGTCACATCTGCCAGAGGCTCCAGATTCAACATCTGTGCAAGCCAGCGCCACCCGTAGCTCAGACCATGAGGATGTGCCTATAAAGCAACAAAGAAGCACTTGCTTTACCACTTGCAAAACACTATTATCAAAACAGGCAGTTTCCTGATTTACTTTTTTCTTTATAAAGTTATTTTACAATAGCCTGACATAAAATTTGATCGTTGTGGAAATACAAAGAAAGGAAGTTAAAGTCCACACCACGAGTTACTTGGCATTGCTTTGCTCATTATGACCATCTCCCTTCAAATATATCCTGAGCTGGTTTAAGTTCAGCACACCTTCACTACTAAACGAGCTTCCAAAACATTTTAACAGACTCTTGGGATAGTAACAAGGTTCTAATTATAATGCCACCCACACACCCCTTGCTTGTTTCCATAAGGCCACCGGAGCTGAATGATGGCAGCGTAGAGACGAATCATTCCTGACATCCTTTTGAGAAAATGATCTTGTTCTTCCACCTTAGAATCATGAACTTCATATCCAAGCATCCTAAGTATGAGAAGACATTCCAATATTAGTACAGCAAAACACATTCACTTGAGTCCCTGCCAGCTCTCAGCTTACTTCAAGTCAACTGTACTGTCAACAGGGATTCTCTACAACCAGACAAGAATGATTGCAAAGGCCAGTGATAAATTTACCTCTGATACTCTTCCATGGAAGTCCCCTCTTTCCGAGCAGGGTAAAATGGCACAGCGTAGGGGCACTTTTTGTGCAGATGAGCTAAGAAGATGTCACCGACTCGAGGGTGTAATTCCCAGATTCCTGAGAGCACCACAGCAATTGGGAAGGCTGAATCATGGTGGAAAGACACTTCTCCTTCTCCATGTTTCTGGAGGGGGGAAAGGGAAAGTCAATCCCCACCCCTTCAAGTCATTTCTCAGGCAAAAATATTCCTTTTGGTTTTGTAATTAATCTCTACTAAAGGATCCTAATGTTTCCATGGCTATGAAGCCAAGGATAGAAAAGCTGATGAAGCCCCACGTCCTCAGCTCCCACAGAGGATGACAATAAACTCTGGCTCAGGAGAGAAAAAAGGGATTAGCAAACACAGGCCCAAAGTGCAGGCTGCACAGATATCCTCACTCCAAACAATCATTTTTCAAATGTTTACAAATCAGTCACAGTTTTACTCCATGAGCTGATTTTTGCATATATTTTCCCTGCAGGGATAAAAGCTTCAAACAGCCCAAATTTAGGAAATAAAGACAAGAGAAAAATACTGCTAACTTCACTTAAACTATGACACTTCATTTCTTGAGAGGTGCAGAACACAGCAGGGACTGGAGTTTGTCTCAAGCCTTAATATTGTTTTTTTGTCCTCAAAATTCTGTCAAGATATAAGTATTTGAGCCTATATATAGTTTTGTGATGGATCATAAATTAATTATCAAACTGTTTTCCACTAACACTGTACCCACCTAGTTCAGAATATATAAGACTATATGTAAGAATATATAAGATATTAATATTAAGGAAATAAATAAGAATATATAAGCCTGAAATTGAAAAGTTTTTTCTCCTAGAAGAGATAAAATAAGGGATGGGAGAGAAAGAGAAGCTAAGTTCTTTCATTTCTTTAATGCACACAAACTGAACACCTAGTGATTTTGTTCTTCATAGCTGACAGAGTTCAGTGTCCAAAAGCATCTCCTAGAGCACTGCCTGCCTGTGCCACCCCAATGAAGAGAGCTCCTCACCACAAATTTCTCTGCAAGTTTGTAATAAACAAACTCCAGCCCCTGTGGATGCTGAGTCACCGACACCGTCTGCCCTTCAGTCTGAACAGCCTTCCCAGACAGGAGGTTATTGATCTTGTCAAACACCTCTCTCAGCTTAGAGCCTGCAAATACATAAGGAATGTATGGAGACAGAAGATTAGGAACCAGCGGACAAGTCTTACCCAGAACACATCAAGTTCACAAACACCAGATCCACATCCTGAAAGGCACCTCAAATGGCACCTTTGCTCCATCTGACTAACCAAACTTAATCCTGATGGAGCAAGATGCCTCTGAGGGAAGCAAGAGACCTTCAAAACACAAGCAAACGCTGCTGCACAGACTTGGACTGTACACAGGCCAGCCTTCTGCTGTAGGGATAATTATAGGAACACTTGGTATGTTATGTCCTGGTAAAATCATTACAGCAAAAGGAATTTCAGTGGGACTGAGCTCTTGGCGTTTTCCTGACCTGATATGCTGGAGATCTGGCTCACAGGGATTGTAGCTGCTTTCTGCAGGTTTGTTTTTATCTTCTTCACCTGCAGAACGAAGAAACAACTTTAAAATCCTTTCCAGACAAGTATATTACTATGAGAGTTTGGATGAGGAGACTGGTAATAGAGGCTGCTACATTAGAATTTTTAATTTTTTTTTAAATGAAAGCTGTCCTACCTATTTCTCCTTGAAACTAAGATAATCTCTCTTTGACAGTATTAATAATTTGTCCTTACCTCAGTGTTGCCTTTGCAGTTTCCAATTTCACTGAAAGAAGCAACACACTGCTCAGCAGCATCTTGAAGCTGTTGGTACCACTGCATAATACTTTCTTCTGTTTTAACTTGAAGCCCTGCAATTAAAAAAAAAATAAAAAACAAAACAAAAAAGACAATGACTAAGAAAGACCTAAACCTCTAGGAAGAAAACTTTTTAAAACAATGCAAGGAACACAACTGCATGAGTGCTTTCTTTCCCCAGAACTTAGTTTAGAAAGTTACGTTCGTAAATAAACTAAAAATTTGCAAGTTGTACAGGAGTTCTCCTTCAGCTTAGTAGCTTAGGATATCTGGAATTAACTTACTGCCCAGAAGAGTAATTTCAGTGGCCCGACCTTGTATGTTTTGTCCTATCATGCATGAGCCATCTACATTCACAAGAGGACACGATGTTCCTCTCTAATTTTCCAGTACATGCTATACTGCCCAGAAAGAGGAGGTTTTGCTCCAGCTAACACAGTCACTTTATGCTGCAGCAGTTCAATTTCAAAAGCTTTCTGCCAGCAGTCCTACACCCACTCTGACAGTTGTGCTAAAAGTAAAGGCTCTGGGAAGGTGTGTCGCCACAACACAAACATTCCAAAGCAGCATTTAGCCCAATGGTAAAAGATTGAAAAGAGGGAAAGGAGGTAAAGAAACAAAGATTCAAAAAAAGCCTCACCAACCTTCCTTCTGCTGCTTTCCCCCTGACTGCTGTGCAGGGACAGGAGTCTGAGTCTTCATCTGCTCTTTCTTCTCTAATTCCTTCCGCTTTTGTCTCTCTTCCTCTTCATCTTTCCTCTTTTTTTCTTCCAGGGCCGCAGTGATTTCCTGCTGCATGCTGGATATCAACCCTCGCATCTCCTGCAGGGCTCGCTCAGTGTTGGCCACGTCTGCTTGAGTAGGGAAACCTCTCTGACAAAAACAGAGGAGGTAACACACCATTAACCACTGTCTGTGGAACAACTGCAAGAGCAAGGAGCCTTTGAAGCATTAGCCTTCACATAATCTGGGAGCCAACTATACATTCCATCCCCATCTCCTTTATTTGTACAAAATGTTGGTCATAATATTTGTAAATAATGTTAGTCCATGACTAGATCTCCTAAGATCTTGGACAACAAAAATTACTAACACACTTGGACAAGTGTAAGTTAACTCCAGTGAAAAGTCTTGACAGCTTCCTCTGCAGAAAGCCAGCTGTGACAAACTGAAACAAAGAACTGGCCTTATTAGTGTTTTATTTTTCAAGGTTTGTATCCCACCCTAGAGAGAAAAAATGTCAAGGAAACCCCGTTACTGCAAAAGGCTTATGAGCATAGGAAAATCATAAGATGGTTCATGAATTGTTAAATACTGAACATTTCATTGCCTCAAAAAGGAACGTTACAGCACCAAGACTTTACAGTCATTTAATTTGACTCTTTCTCCCGCAGAAGTCCTCATGCATTTTTATAAGCCACTTTCAAGAGAACAGCTGAAGTGCCACAGAAAAGAACTCCCCTTTGAAATTAGATGCTTTATAGGGTGAGTCTAAAAACATTGCTGTGACATCTTATTGAACGGCCTCCTGACAAGCTGCTTTTGAAGACAACTGCAGGAAAGTTTATGAAGGAACAACCAAAGTTAAGCACAACTGCAGAGCCTGTACCTCACTCGTGGTACGGATGAGCCCTGACACCAGCCCACAGATCTGGTTGCCACGATTGCTGTAGGCAGACAGGTCGATTCTGGGCAAGTCTTTGTGCCTGTAGTTGGGATCAATCTGCTGGTTGAGCTGCAGCAGCTCCTCCTGGATGGAATAAAGGCGACGCAATCTTTCCTGCCCCTCTTCCCTGCGCAAACGCTCCAGCTCTTCCTGGCGCTGCCGCTGCTGCTCCGCCTCACGCAGTTTGAGGTTCAATATCTGGGGAGAAAAAGACACAAGAGTCACAAAATATTTAAGGAACTCCAGCTTTACATCTCTTTCCCGGTTTCATGACTCCCAGCCCTGCAGGGCCTTCCTGCTCCTACAACACGTGTGCTTTTACTGCATTTCCACACCGCAGCAGGTGCCCAGGTCAGCACCAGAAAATCCATCCTCACACCAGGGTGCCACAGAAATACAAATAAATCAATTGGTCTTTCCAGTTCCCACCCCCAGTAGTCATGGTCTTGTATGAAAGACAACGCTTAACAGCCTCAGACCTTTGCTCTGTGTCGGTGTTCTTCCTTCAACTTCTCTTGCTGCCCCTGAGCTTCCTTTGAGCTACGAGACACATGAAGACAGAAAAACTGTATTCAAGATATCCACCAGACAAAATACAAACACACCGCAATTTACCCTTAAAATAAGCTAAGGGAACTTTAACTGTCACAAATATTGTCTTTTTCTAACCACTGAAACCTCAGCAGTAACCAGAGATCTACTCTGACAACCTGTAACAGGACAGTCAATGCAAGAAAAGCAGCAGGTGAAATTTTCAGCAACAAGGGACCAGCATGGAACTTGTGTCAGGCACAAGAATTAATCCTCACTTTGATTAAATGCTATACAATTTTAAGAATACCAGAGCTAATCTCACCTCTTCTCCATTACTTCTTGCAACTCTTGGAATTCCTGATGCCGCTTCAGCTCCCGCAGTTCATCGAAGCGCTTCAGCTGTTCGCTGGCCTGGGCATAGGCTGCCCTCACCATCTGCTCCTGCTCCTCCTGCCTCTGCCTCAGCCTCTCCTGGATTACAGAGGGACCAGAATTGCAGAATTTGAATATAGGAAAATACATACTAAATTGCCCAGAGTGGACCAACATTTAGGACTTACTGTCCTTGCACTGTTACATCTGGAGCTCTGCTGGGATTCACACACACCCCCTCAACCTTTTTTGACTTACCTTTGCTTTCAACCTGTGCATCTCCTCATACATTCGAATGCAGCCTTCGACTTTTGCAACTTTGGATGACAGAACTGCTGGAGAGACTTCTTGATCCGTTTCCAGGGGACTGAGATGATCATTTCCCTGCGTGGTCATAGTAAAAGCAAAATCAGTGACCAAACACAGGATCAACAACTCACAGAGGAAAACAGGTAAATCAAGTCCCCGTAACTATTATTTGTTGAGAAACAAAGGGGTCAATGAATGCATGTTTTTAGAGCAGTTATGTATCTCAGTAGCGCAGCCACACCATTGTGAGTATCCTCCAGCACATTCATGAGGTTGGGATGATTACTTTTCCAATCACTAAGACTGGAAGCAGAGATACCAAGAGACTCTAGGACATTCACAAAGACCAATCAGGACATTCACCTGGAAAGCCTAGACAAACCCTCCATGTTGTCTTAACACTCAGGAAAAATGTTACACTGGAAGAAGTCAAGACAGATTTAGACTTTGAACCATTCTTCAGGTGGAGTCTTCAAACTTTCTGTTGATGCTACAAGAAGTTAAAACTAAGCATCTTTCCCCTATAAAACAGACAACAAACCAGTCTTAATCAATTTATGGCAGCAAGTCAGCACGTTTTTTCTCACAGCTGCTCCATAAGCATATGGATTATAATCAGAGAGCTACCTTGGTCTCACTCGGCTCTGTGGATGAAGGTGGTGAAGAGCTCCGGTGGCTGCCAGGCGGGACCCTCTCCGCGGATGCCCGTTTTGAGACCGGGGTGGATTGTTTGGGCGTAGAAGTCCCGGAGGGTGTGATTTCTGGGGCTGACTGCCCACTAATGCTGTCCAGGACCCAGCCGCAGTACGGGGAGAGCTCAATGGGAGCCACACACCCTTCCAAGGCACCCTTGAGAGAAAACATCCCCCGTGAGTGCGAAGCACACCGAGACAGCAACAAAATTTTAACACACCACGAGCACCCCTGCTCCGTCACCAGGCGCTTTATGACCGCAGCTCAGTACCCCACTGACCCCTTTCTCACGGTGTTTTCCCAGCACTTTTCCCGAGCTCCCCTACTTTTCAGGACGCCCGAACCCCCTCGGGTCAGCCCCGCTCCCTGACCGCGCGCTCCGGGGGTGTTTCAAAGCCCTCACCTCATCCTCCTGCCAGTGGCGGCAGTAGTTCAGCTGGCCCTTGCTGGAGAGGCGCAGAGCCTCCAGAGTCTCGAAGCGGAGCTGCCACGACTCCATGGCCCGTGTGTAGCCCGGCCCGGGGGTCCCTCACGGTCCCGGGGGTCCCTCAGAGCCCCGGGATTCCCTCACTGCCCCGGGTCCCCTCACGGCCCGGCCGGGCTCGCCCCGCCTCTTCCGGGCCTTGTGCTGGGCGGGAAGGAGCGGCGGGCGCCCCCTGGCGGACAGGAGGGGCCCTGCCCGGCGCCAGAGCCCCGGGTTCGAATCCCGCTCGCGGCGCCTCCCGTGAGGGACGAGCCCAGGGAACGAACCGGGAAACACCCACGGATTCACCGATTTTCCACTTATTGTGTGTATTTGTTCATCCCAGGTGCAGGGAGAGGGCTCCACCCGAGAACCACAGAAACACTTAGGAATTCACTTGCCTGCACCGACAGCCCCAGGGATGTGTTTGCTTTTCCAAAATCAGACCCCCAGACGCAGCACACAAAGAGCAAACCCCCGCCGTGAAAATCTATTAAACCAGTTAAAAAATCTAGTTTATTGTTTTACCATAGCACCTTTGGGATTTTTAAAGTGTTAAACACACAATTACAGATCTCGCAAAAAAATGATTCATTTAGGAAAGTTTTATGACAAAACAGTGCCAATGACCACATCACATCGCACATAAATGGGATATGAAAGAGAGAAACATAAAAACAAGGTTTACTTTTGCCCCCATAAGAACCATTTAGTGGAAACAACAGGGCACTAGAGAGCACATGGATTTTAGAGATTTGACACACCAAAGACCTGATTTTCCAGGAGAAGGTTCAGGCGAATCTCATGAAGTTGAGTATCTGCAGCTGCTCCTTAATTGGCTTAAAACCAAGTCAGGATTTCATGCACATCCTGACTATGAGTGACATTCCCACCAAGACTCCAATTGAAGTGATGCTGAGGTTAAACCACAATCTTTCCTTCAAATTCAGATTGTTTTGGCTCAGTCCTGGGGATTCTGAGATTCTGTGATAATCAGGATCAGAAAATCAGTGAGAGGAGCAAAGCAACATTAGCATCACACTCAGAAATAAAGGTAAGTATCAGGGAGTATATAAGAATCAAGTTTAAAAAACCAAACCAAAATCATTACTTCTGGTATAAAACTGTTACGAACACTGTGGTTGTGCAGGAGATAATCTCTTGTGCGTGTGGAGCCCAGGCACCTCAGTTATTTTCATCTTCACACCTCTGGTGGGTGGAACCTCTCCCACCAGCCCATCATCCAATGTATCAATACAGTGTTCAATAGTTTAAAAAAACTGATTAAAAAAAACCCCACAAACAAAATTCCCCACATCACCCCCACATGATTTTCCCAACAGAGAAATCGAATGAAAAGTGAAGTACAAAAAGAGCTCTTATAAAAATTAACATGCTCAACAAATCTCTGACAGGTTTCAAGAGCTGAAAGCATCAGTTCCTTATAGGATGAAAATAATCTTTTCCATCTTCTGCAAAACCACTTGGTTTGGGGGCTCAGTTGATGGTGTAACACCAACCTCCAATGCCAAACCGGTATTGCTGATACCCCACGTTTTGGTCAGGTGCCATCATCATTATATTGTCTCATACTGCTAGGAGAAGGTCTCCTGACAGGGACCCTGGAATGCTATCCTGATTTCTGTCTCAATATGGCTTTGAAACAACATTCCTTCTGTGCTTGGAAGAGGTGCAAGGGGAGCGTTGCCCTCAGAGAGGAGAGCGAGAGCGGCCGGGGAAGCTCAGCACGGCACCTTCCCTAAAAACATTGTCATAGGAAGACTTGAGGAACTGGACATAGTTCTGCATGCTCCGGTTGGTGCTCTCCGACTGCTCCAGCCGATCCTTCAAGTCCTGGAGGCGGCTTTCGTACCGGCGCTGGGCCTACACGGGGGAGCACAAAGCACAGCCTGAGAGACAGCAACATCCACCCTGCTCATGTTAAACCGCTCCCCCAAAATGCTAAGGAGAGCCAGAATTAGCACAGCAGGAGATGGCATTGCCATAGATGGAGCTGTGATATTTATAATTCGTTCTGCTCATTTCCAACTCCATTCAGCAACATGCTGATAAAAACAGGAGACAACGTGGCTAATCAGTCGGGCTTTTAAAACTCATTAGCTGTAGTTATGGGGAATTAAACACGCTCTTTTCTGAAAAGCAACTTGACCTGATCCATGAGCCAACACAACTCCAAGTAAAACTCAAGCAAGCAAGCAGGGTAAATAGGAATCATGACAGATTCCCAGCCTTTCTTCTAGAGAAAATCCTTTCCTCTAAAAGAGAAATTGCATTCTCTCTCAGGTAACCAAAATGAAGTTGAAATCTGTCCATGATACCTGGTGCAAATCTCATTTGAACATAAGGAAGGTCTGATTCTTCTCTTGCACACACATAACTTCACATCAGGTTCATTCAGGTTATTGTACTCTCATTTGCCCATCACTTATTGCAAGCTCCTGAATCAGTGACAGCAGGCATGTCCTGTCACACATCTGTCATGAACACACACACCAGCATGTCACATTCAGGCACAGCTCTGCATGACCTCTGCAGCACATCCAGAGGACTTGGTTTATGGACTCCAGTGGCTGCCAGGACACCACCAGCACACCAGGAATATCCCCCACAGGTCACTCACATCCTCTTTGCTCCGACGCAACTGGTTCAGGTCTGTTTTAGTCCGACTCAGCTGGGTCTCCAAATCCAAGAGCTTGGACTGGGCTGCCCTCTCTCTAGAGATTGCTCGTTCTCGAGTTTGTTCCACCTACATACAACAATAACTGTTAAAGGGCTGGCTATGCAAGAATGTTTTTTCCTACCCCATTGCCCACAAAAGCCCTATAAAGCTTAACTGACACATTCTCATACACAAGTAGCAGCTCAGCCTTGTGCTTTTCTCTTTCCTATTGCAAACTGAGTTAAGTTTTTCAACCTTTTAAGTGCTGACAAACAGCACCAGCACATTATTTGTATTTCACTGAACACGATGATTCTAATGGCTTTGGTTATAAGCTGAGGAGATGCTTTCAGCATTCTCGCTGTTCCCCTTTCACAGCTTGGGTACCTTTGGGTGAATTTCCAAACAGGAGGAACTACTCACTTGTTTTTTGGCATCATCAATGGCCATCTCCAGCTGCCGTGCCAAGGAGCTGCACTCCCGGGTCTTCTCCTCCAACCGCAGCTGGCACTGGTGGATCGACTCCTCACGCTTTGCTATGACCTGAAGGAATTCTATGTTCTGGGCATTCGTGGTCTCTAGTTTTCTAGTTTAAGACAATAAGGGAAGGAAACCTATTCATTTTAAATGGAGTGTGTTTCAGTCTGCCTTTTTGCCAGGTCCTGACTCCTCTGGTAAGAGATTCCATTCCCCACATAAAGGTGAGAGCCCCAAGAAACGCTTCTCCAGTCCTCAAATCAAAATTTTTAAGACTGAAGAACCTGCAGAGTTACCCACATACCTGCATCTTCTCAGACGCTGTCACTAAAAGTAATTTATAAACATGGGTCAAAATATTGAAATACTGTAATATGTAGTAACCTCAAAATTGCCAGGCTAGATTGGACAAGGAGCTGCTTTCTCCTCTGTCTAAGCCATCATCCTGTCTAACGACATTCACAACAGGTGCTGCTGCAAAAATATGTAACTCTCAGTGGACAGCTACTGATTAGAAATCCTTGTCGGATAAGCAAATGCACAGAATCCTGGAGGCATGTGAGGAACCAGAACAAGACTGAAGCTGTTTCAATCCCCTGTAAAAACAATGGAAATGAAAGGTTAAAAAGGCAAGAGACCCTAATATTTCTAACCTTTCTAGCTCCTCCACCTTCAAGGTGAGTTGCTTTTTCTCCTCCTGGGCAGACTGATATCTCTCTCTTGTCATCTCCATTTTGTCCCCCTGGAGCTCAATCTAAAAATTACAGGAATTAATTACTTCACAGAGTAGTCACTACACACACATGACCAACCACCTAAAAGATATGAGCTCTCAGAAGGAAACATGGTCAATTCATTATCTCTGGAGAGCTTCAGAAAAGGAACACTCTGGAGAGCTTCAGAAAAGGAACACTGGACAGAAAAGCACTAAACATCCATTTTGCTGGTGCTTCCAGTTAAAGTCTTGAAAGGTATGGAAAAACTCTTCCAAAAGAAAAGCCAGGCCTGTAAATTCCTGCAAGCACAGCCAAGTACACACACGTGAACAGCAGCCATAAACATGCCAGCAACCCACAAAGGCATCAGAGCCTGAAACACCAGGAGGGTTTATAATTCCAAACCAAGCAGACTAAAGTGGTCAGACAGAGATCATGGGCTGTGTCTTGAGGCACAGCTGTAGAAATCATCCCTGCCTGAAATTGTCCTCCAACACCTACAGTCTTCCTGGGGACACCAAAAAGGGACTGGGAAAAGAACATGAAATCAGAGTGAGAAAACAAGGTTGGGACAGCACCATCAGCAGCAAGCCACAGAGGAAAAGCTGACAAGAGGATGGAAGTAACAGAAGCAAGCGCTGGCATTAGCAAGTGCTGTCACTGCAGCTATTCATGTCCCAATGAGATGCTTCACCAGGGCACGAGAAACCTTTCAAATCTTAAGGAATGCTACCCAGCAAAGCCATTAACTTCTTGCACAAAGACATGGCACACACCTTTATTTTGCAGTGCACGTTTAATCTTTTCAAAAAGAGACGAGAATAGAGACGAAGTTTGAACCTTGCTGTGATTATAAATTCATCTTGGTCTCACAGTGGTGTGCACTGGTACGTCTCACAGTTGAGGTGTGCACTGGTACGGGTACTTTCTGCCAGTCCCTTACCAGCTGACGGAGATCTGCAATCATGGCACACAGGTCCGTGTTCTTCTTCTCGTAACTCTGGAGCTGCTCGTGACATTGCGCCAGCTGTGTCTCCGTGTACTTCAGGATCTCAGGCAGCTTCTCCAGTTCAGCAAGCTGGCTCTGGAACTTCTTCCGCGTCTGTAATCAAAGAAGAAAACATGAGGAACTTTCCAGTGTTCCTAAGGTCAAGACTAGAAAATTTCTCGACTTCAATGAAGCTTTGTTAGTCCACAACCGTGATGACACGCTGTGGATGTTTGGCCAGTGTTGGAGTTCAAAGCCTAAGGTCTTCTCCTACTCCAAAAGGCTTT